GATCAAACCCACAACCTTGGCATTTTGGGATAACATTCTAACCAACTGAGCTACCTGTCCAGGGTGACTCTTGACCTTTTATGAGGGCACAGAAGTGAGAAGAAGAGGGAAAATTCTTTATTTAGCCCCCAACTAAAACAGTTCCCAACTGTTGCCAACTGAAATACAAAGAACTTCTCTTACCTCAACTGGGCCTCTTGACCCTGGGATTGAGCCTATCAGATATTCAAATAGTTCATGGCTTTTTAAATCAGTTAATCCCTTTGCTTCCATTCCACTCTGAGCTTTGATTAGCTTTTTTTTTTCAGGAGTGTGGGGACAAGTGGCAGGGAAGAGTATTTTTTTGGAAGGTAAGTTTGGCATATGGGGGGACTCTGGGTAGCCAGAGGTCAGCAAGAAGGCACTGGGCATTTAGACTCCAAGGCAGTTGTCTCAAATCTGGCTGCAGATTAGAACTATGGCACCTGGGGCTCTTTTAAAGTTACCATTGCCAAGGGTCTACTACACATCTTTTAATCAGAATACCTGAGGGGTACAGCTTGGGCATAAATACTGTTCATAAAGCTCCCGAAATGACTCTAATGTGCGATCACAGTTGAGCACCTCACCAGGTATGGGAGAAGGAATGCCATGGAATGAGAAAACAGTGCAGGCAAATGTGGAATATTTCTGACCCCAGTTTGCTGTGTGTTACAAGCACACACTGCAGACAGCGGGGGTAGAAGAGCAGGGTTGCATGCTTCAAGAAGGGCATGGCTCTCGTGGGTTGCGTGTTGCCTAGGGAAGGTTAAATGCATAAACTGGCAAAAAGTGGAAAGCCCATCGATGCCAACTGTGGTGGAAGTGCAGATCATCGTGGTCTTTCTGTACTGCACTTTGACACTACGCAGTCCAGATAAGTGTCCTTAACAGCCTATGAACCAGTAAGTATGATTTTAGATATGTATTCTTGACAGTGTCACTTGGGACATGTAGGAGATTGATCACTGCAGTCTTATTGGGGGTGACTGGGAACAGAAGGCTTTGCTGGGAGAGTAGCTGGGCGGAATGTGGGGGAGACGCACCATCAGACCATTATTCAGCAGTTAGAAGCAACAGGTTAGATATACACATAGCAACATGAGTGGATCTTAAAACCATAGTTACTGAATGCGAAAAGTATGAAACATAATGAGACATATAAAACATTAAATCTGTGAATAAAAATGTAGCCCACACAAAAAACGTAGCACACAAAACAGTGTTTATTTTGCAAGAACCATACAAATAAAAAGATAAATGTTGCCTATGGGGAGGGAAAAGGGAGCAAGCATGGTGCTAAAAGAAAATATATAACTAGATAACTATTTTTTATTTTTAATTATATATTTTTAAATTTTTATTATATTTTACATTTTATTTACTTTTAGAGAGAGGGGAAGGGAAGGAGATAGAGAGGGGGAGAAATATCAATGTGTGAGAGATACATTGATCTGCTCCCTCTTGCCTGCCCTCATCTGGGGACCTGGCCCGCAACCCAGGCATTTGCCCTGACCGGAAAATTGAACCTCCAACCTTTTGGTTCACAGGCCAGCACTCAATCCACTGAGCCACACTGAGCCAGGTAGATGAGCATTTCTTTAAAAGTAAGATTTAAATCAGACCTTGAAAGATGAGTAGGAAAGAGGGGGAAATGGAAGGCTTCTAGAACGGCAAAATCCTCCCACAGGCTAAGACCAGGAGGCAAACGTGTGTGGAGCAGGTGGGTTAGGAGAAAGGTCTGATTGGAGCAGAGAGGTATGTTAAAGCAAAGCAGGGATTAAGGCTGGAGAGAGAGAGAGAGAGAGGGGGGATTGGCTAAGATTCTGAAGGCCTGGAAAGCCAGGCAAAGGAATTTAAACAACGATAAAGTAGATAAGAGAACTGTAAAAGGATTGAGAGGGGAAGAAGGTGATGAAAGTGAAGTCAGAAGAGGTGGGTGGAGAGAGCCTGAAGTCAGAGAACTGGACTGGAGGTGAATACGTGAGTGAACTAAACAAAACAGATGAAGGTAAGTAGCCTGGAACAAGCAAGCATTGGAGCTGGAGGGTGAAAGACACATTTTGATTGATTACTAGCTGAATACGGACACTAATAGGCAAGGCTAAGTCAGAGTACTTGGAGGTCTTAACCAGGAAGTTAGGGGAAGAAATTAAGTCCAGTAGTAGCTGCGATTTCTTACAGTGGAAATGCAGTTTTCCAGTGAAGTGGAGCTTTAAAGGTTCTAATAATTCAGTAATCTCTTTGAGCAAGCACCCTGAACGGGCTCATGGGTGTACTCATTTTAGAATTGGCAGAGAGTTTTGTTTTACAGATGACAAGAGGACCAAAGATGTTTGGTTAATTTCCCAAAGTCAACCAATTAACTGGAGAAAACGATGGGCTAGAGCCAGGCCTCTTAACTTCTAGTCCAATGAACTTTCCTAATTACTGGTATATTGGATGTGAGGAGCTTGAGAATCAAGGCAACTCACGTTTGGACTTCTGCATTTGCCTGACCATGAGAGGTCAATTTTCAAGAATTAGGATCTACCCTTTCTGTACCTAGCCTCTGCCAGCTCAGTTTCAACCCATATGCACATGAACTGTCTATCTGGTTGGGCTTCTAAACAAAACTCCTGGTGTTTGCTTTACTAATCCTTACCTCTACATGGCTGGGCACAGTGAGGACTGTCACTGAGTGCCAGGCTTTCAGGCAATATTTTTATAGTTCTCCCTGGATAAAAAAGTAAAACAAATGACTTCTAAAAAATAATAGAATCTTAGAGTTTAAAAGATCTTAACTTCCCACCCAAGAGGAACCCCCCTAAACAATACCCCTGACAGACGGTCATCCTGTCTCTAAATGTTTTTGGGAATGGAGCAGGCCATTCCTTTGCCAGATCTGATTACTAGAAAACTCTGAGTCTGAGTCCCATGTCACTGCAGTGTGATTCAGTGAAAAATAGCACAGGGGACTCAAGCAGACCTGAGTTTGATTCGTAACAGTGTAATTTGCTTCACGACTCAAGCAACTTATTTGTCCTCTATCAGTGTCTGTCATTCACTTCGCCTGTACATTGGGGTAATGCCTGTTTTATAGAGTTACCATGAGTACTGGAGATTATGAATGTAAAATGCCTAGTACAGTGCCTGGCACAAAGAGTTAATAAAGCAATAGCTGTCATGCTCATCGTCATCATAATTATTATCCTATTCATTGGTCCTAGTTTGCCCTGTGGTGTTATGTACATACGCCTTTCAATACTTTCAAATGCTTGAATTTAGTTATTTCTAAGTTTTCTTTTTTTTCAGAGCAAGCATCCACCAATATTTTCTCTCTTGCTTATCCTACCCTTGACCATGTTCCTGGATATGATGTTTGTAGAATACAGTGTCCATAAATTAACAAAGTACTCCAGGTGTGGCCTGAGTGTTTTGTAACAGTAAGACCTTAAAGTCTCCATTCCCCAGACAACACTCTTCAAGCTTCCTAAGCCTCCTTTAGCTTTTTAGGCAACTGTGTCCCATACTGATTTAGTCCTATGAAAACCTCCAGGTAGATTTCATATGAATGAGTTTTAATTCTTCCCTGTTTTACATTTGATAGAACTATTTTTCTGTTCAAGAGAAAACTTTTTATTACTTGAAAGTCTGTTATGTATTAGGTTTTGTGCTGATTCTGTGGACATAGGGATGAAGACTAGGACAAAGTAGCACTATACTAGAAATGTAGGTTCCACGAAACTGGGTCTATTGCCTTCACTAACAAATCCCCACTTCCTGGGAGGATGTCTATGCACGGTTATGTGCTTATTGTTGGTGAATTAACAAATAATTTACACTGGAATTTCTTCTTATAAGTAAAAAGGCATTTCCCCAACTGACTTATTTTAAAAGTTCAGATATTTTTGTACAAGCCTCACATTTTTATTCCAAATAATTTTTACCCCATTGCCATTAAGCCCATCACTTTCGGCTCAACTATAGTGTTTTCTTCCACCTAGGGTAGACCCAATTTCCAAAATAAGTTTATATTGTCTTTTTCAAGGCCAAACTAAATACATGCTTTATTTGCTGGATGGCCATTATATTCCATGATTGGTAAGTACTTATATGACCCTTAATGTGCAGCTTACCATACATCTCAGGGTTAGCAGCGCCAACTTTGTGAATGCTAAACACCCAAAAGTTTTTAGAACCCAGTTTTATTGGGCCCTGACTTGGGGGCAGGCATCTCCAACCTTTTTGCATGTCTGGGCCACACTGGAAGAAGAGTTGTCTTGAGCCACACATTAAATACATTGTAACATGTGATCACAAAAAAAATCTCATGTTTTAAGTAACTTTATGATTTTGTGTTGGACGGTATTCATAGCCATCCTGAACCAAAGGTGGGACACCCCTTACAGGGAAAATGAGGTCTTTGGGAAAAGTGTGGGGCGATGGCTTAGGGCCTTGAAATTCTGCATTGGTCTATACAGCGCTGCCAGGCGCTCGCAGGCCTAGCGCCTCTGGGTCAAACTCATCCCACAGACATCAGAGACATATGGAATTTGTAGGTATCCAGTTCTCTAAAACCACATAGGAACTCTCAGTCCTCTCACATTTTTTTCCAGTGTATGGGCTACAGGTGAGGCAATGATCGCCATCTTGATATCAAATACCCAGCAAGGCGCCACTGGCGTCGCTTGGTAACCACGGAGACACACGTGCCCCGCCCCCCTTTTCCAGCCCGTGGAGGCTGTAAACTACGACTCCCATCAGCAGATTTTTCTCTGCTTAAAGGCGAGGTGTCTGGATTTGGCTTGCCGGCACCCCAGCCCCAGTAGCAGTGAACCGCGGGAATTGCAGTTCACGAGCTGGCCTCACGGTTTGCTGCGCGAAGCTCTGGAACTACAAATCCAGTGAGCCGGAGGGCTCACGCATGCGCGCCGAGCAGCCGGTTCTCCCGGCCCCCCTGCGGGTGCGTGAGAGGTAAGAGAGGGCGGAGGGAAGGAAGAGGAGGCGGGATCTGAGCGCTGCGTTGGCTGCGGTCTGGCACCAAGGGGGCGGCCCCGGCGGAGTGCAGACCTAGTGTCCCTTGGCGATTATGGACCCGGCCGAGGCGGTGCTGCAGGAAAAAGCGCTGAAGTTTATGGTGAGGAGAAGGTGCAGGACGGGAAACGGTGGAGGCTGTGGCGTTGGCGGCGTCCCTGAGGCTCCGGCCTGGGCCGCCGGTCCACCAGAGGAGGGCACAGAGGGACTCTGGGCCGAGGCCGGCGGCGGGGGCTGCTGAAGGGACGGGATGGGAGCTCTAGGGAGGCGGGAGGTGGTTGCGGAGAGACCTGGGGGTGGGGGCAGCAGCTCCGCCATCTTGTGGATGAGAGACCAAGTGACAGCGGGAGCTTAATCTGGGAGGGGGCTCTGGGTGGCGCGGGGCCCTGGAGGGAAAGGGGCGTGGGGACAGTTACTGAAGAGCGGAGGGAGCCCGGAGGGCAGACCCGGTGAGGCTGCTGGCAGGGCCTTCTCAGTGTCAGGCTTACGGGTAAGGCCCGGGAGAAGAGGTGCATTGAGGAGTGGGGAAAGGGATCAGCGGGTAGTAGGAGGAAAGATGTTAGGGGGGGGGGACATGTAGGGCTGGATGCAGATGGATCGAAGTGTTGGGGACAGCCAGGGCTGGTGGGAGGCTAAAGAGTTTTGTAGAATGAGGGGGGTTGAGATAGCCGTTGCTTTCAGGTCCCACTTGGCCAAACTAATGTTGACAAACTCTGGGAAGAAAGAGGCCTTACTTAGGAAGATAAGGACTGGGGATGGAGACCTAGGGCTCTGGTGACAGCAGTCTTTGGGGAAGGAAGAGGGTGTTGACTATGAGCCAGCATTTCAAATGTCAGAAAAGGGGATACATACTGTTCTTTGAAAGGAGAGGCTGGGTATTGTAGTAAAGACGAGGTTGAACTGGGCAGGAAAACCTTGGCGCACGAGATTGGGGACAAAATTCCCATCTAACAAGGTAAAACAAAACAAAAGTTTGTGCTAAATTGTAGAGATAGTAAAATGTAGGGGCCAGGTCCTGTATCACTTTCTGGGAAAGAAAAGGCGGTGGAGATAAGAATCGCTAGACTCAAGAGAAGTGATAAGATCAGAGGAGAAATTCAGGAGATAAAAGGGGGAATGTAGGTAATGGGAGATGTCAGGATTGGTCGTTGCTTATCAGTTTTAGGTTGAAGCACAGTATGGGTTCACATGGAATTTTGAGGGTGGGTTTAAATCTTTTTGAGCCTAGTTTGTTAACTTTATATCATGCTTTTCTTCTATGCTTCTGTTTGGCAATTTTGTATAGTCTGATATTTGATGCTTTTAATCTGATGCTTCTTGTATATCCTAGGTGTAAAACCAGACTTTGTGGTCACAGCTAAAGAATAATGGGATGCATACACTTACATCTTAACAGGTGGCGTTAGTGACATTGATATTTGTAGTCAGGTCTTGCTTTCTGAGAAGTATTTGTAACCTGTCACTCCAAATTTTATTTCTTTATGTGTTATTTTGTGTCTTTGCCTGAAATACCAGAACAAATCTAAATAAACATGAACCCTAACTGAATTTAGGCTATAAATGGCCCTATTTACAAGAATACATTTTTCAGAGACTGGTCAAATTTACTAAAACTTTATTTATTTTGTATTAGTGCTTTCAAAAACACCTAACTGAAGTTTGAGTATATCATTAATGTAATTCCATTTTGAAGAACGTTCTTAAATTTCTTCCCAATGTTGACTTCCATGAGATAAGACTTTGAAATTTTATTGGACTTTAGAAGTAAGAGGAGCCCTGGCCACTGTGGCTCAGTTGTGTGGAGCATTGTCCTGAAAGGACAACTGGTTTGATTCCCATTCAGGGCACATGCCTAGGTTGCAGGTTTGATTCCTAGTCAGGTCATGTGCAGGAGGCAAATAATTGATGTCTCTCTCTCTTCCCAACTCCCCTCTCTCTTCCCAACTCCCCTCTCTCTCAAATGAGAATAAAAAATAAACCTTAAAAAAATGAAGTAAGAGGAAGTCAAGAGAAGTGACAGCTGCTTATTTTATTTTCTTACTTAGAGGTTGACTTAACCCTAACCTTGACACTTCTGTCAGATTTATGGAGTAGTGTGATTTACAGGTCATAAAGAAACATTATGAGATCATCTTCTTTGCTTCCCATCAGACCTCAGCCCGGGAACATCCTCAACTACTTGATTTCTGCTTTGTACCAGTGAGTTATGTGTCGATAACGGTCTCCTGATTGAGTTAAAGTGGACTTGGAGATGGCCATGTAGTAGTTTGCAGCTTTTAGAACATCACATATTATTAGATGTTGAGTCAGTTACTATAGGGAGAAGCCAGTTTTATCTTTAATTTGTTACTTTTATTTTTGACTTTGCCTGCAGTTGTGGCTACTGTTTGAGAAAAGACCAACTGGAGGAAGGTCACTAAGTATGACACTTTAATAACTGAAGCAGAGAATGGAGAGTTAGAGATTTGGTATTCGTTTTCAGCTCAGCCAGTCTTATTATGAATCTGAGTAAGTCACAACTTGCCTATGGCTTCATTTACCCTGTCATAACATGTCTGCTTACTCAGAGTCAGGTTTGAATAGGAAGATAATTTATTCATCTTTGCACCAAGTGATTAGTGCACAGTACACGTGGAAGGGCTATCCTTTTAGTCAAATTGAAAATTTTATATAGTATTTGCCTTTGTTTTTTTCTTACCTTTTCTTCAGTTGTAACTTATGAATGATACTTTTTGTATGGAAGTTCTGATTTCCATTGTTTAAGAAAATGTAATTTGTTTAAAATGCCAACATGAAATGGATATTCTCTTTTATGACTTTTGCTCATTACTACATTAATGTAGTGCTTCAATTAGGAATTTTACAATAAAATCTTCTTAATGATACTACTAATTCAGAATCGATCATAATTCACACATGGTCTAGACTTAAAGTTTACCCTTGGATACTTGTGAAACATAGTTTAACTTCTAGAAACAAATGATATTAAAGCAGTAGTTTACATTAAAGAACTTATATGCTAATATCTCTCATTCAGCTTTAACAGGTCCTTAAGGACCTTTCATAACACTTCCTTGGTCAACAAAATTATAATTCCTCAAGAACATAAACGGGAACTGGAAGAGGCCCGGAGAAGAGAAATGAAAATGATTGAGGGAATGTAGGCACCGTTTTATAAGGGTGTATATATTTTAAAACAATATATATGAGGGATAAGAAGACAAGTTGAAGGATGATTTTTTATTTTTATTTTATTATTATTTTTTAAATAATAAACATCTTTTTTTTTTTTAAAGATTTTTATTTATTTATCTTTAGAGGGGAAGGAGAAGGGGAGAGAAACATCAATGTATGGTTGCCTTTAGTGCATCCCCTGCTGGGAATTTGCCTGCAGGGAACTGGCCTGCAACCCAGGCATGTGCCCTGACTGGGAATTGAACCTCGATCCTCTGGTTCGCAGGCCTGTACTCAATCCACTGAGCTACACCGGCCAGAGCTGAAGGATGATTTAAAAAAAAATTAGTTTGTGTTCTTGAGGGAATGAATTTTTAAGCTTAAGAAAAGTGAACAGGATAAGCAAATTTCAGAATCTTAGAACTGGGGAAACATTTGAAACTTGAATATAATTTGGGGGTATATGAAAGAATTTTTAATGCACTTGATAAGGAGACAGTGTTAAAGGTAACTTGCTTTGTAATGCACCACTCCAAAACTTAATAGCTTCATATCTATGATTGACTGATGGGTTTTCTGCTTCATTTGGTGTCGTCCAGGGTGCCAGCATGGCTGGAATGTTCACAATGCTCACACTAACATGACTGGCCCCTGGGTGAGAGTCAGCTGGCTCTAAAGACCTTCTTTATGTGGGTCTCCTCTCTGCACATTGCCTTTGGATTTCCTTAAAGCATGATGCATGGGTTCTAAGCTGGAGCACTCCAGGAAACAGGAGGTAGAAACCAATGAGCCACTTCTCTTAAGTCCTAGGTTTGGAAGTCCAAGAATGGCAGTGTTGGTCAGAGTAAAGGGAAATAATCTCAGCATATAGACATGAAGAGTGACATGCATAATCAGCTTCCTGGGAGTCGGAGGATGCTCTTTTGAGACCGAGTATCATAGATGCTATTCTAGTTGGTTGTTCAGGCTAAAAATATTGGGTTGGCCAAAAAATTTGTTTTGGTTTTTCCCTCAGATTGCTCTAGTGGTGCTTAGTTGTCTTTGGCCTCATCGAAACAATTTAGTTAGATTGTATCATGACAGCTGTCATTTCAGTGAGCATTTAAAAAATATATCAAAGTTGGTCAATTTTTGTGCAGTCATTTTAATATTGAAGATGGAAAAAATATCCCATATTTTTGGTGTATTATGCTTTATTATTTAAAAAAGGTAAAAACACAGCTAAAACACACAAAAAATACCGTGTAGTGTATGAAGAAGGTACAGTGACTGATCAAATGTGTCAGAAGTGGTTTATGAAGTTTCTTGGTACTATTGATGTTTTGGCCAAATAATTCTTTGCTGTGGGATGTCTTATGCATTGGAAGATGTTTAGCAGCAGCCCTGGCCTTTATGCACTAGAAGCCAATAGCAGGATATAGCCAACATACTCAGAATATCCAAATCAATAAAGTTATTGGTGAAAATGAAAAATTTGCCTTTTATTTCAAGGAAAAAAACTAAACAGACTTTTTGGCCAACCCAGTATGAATGGGATCAGCCAGATTTGTGGGTTATAACACTAGGACTGCTTTGGAAGTATCTCATTTTGGAGGTTAACTTCTTTTTTAAAGAATTTATTTGTATTGAGAGAGAGGAGAAGGGAAGGAGAAAGAGGGAGAGAATCATTAATGTGTGGTTGCCTCTTGCATATCCCCTACTGGGGACCTGGCCTGCAACCCAGGCATGTGCCCTGACTGGGATTTGAACTGACCCATCAGTTTGTAGGCTGGCATTCCATCCACTGAGCCGCAACAGCCAGGGCTGGAGGTTAATTTCTTAAGGAACAAATGTGATTTCTTATATGAGGTGTTTTAATATTACCCAGAGATACTACTGGGTGAATTAATGTGATTCAGTAACTTCTTGCTTGCTTGAAAAGCATATGTATCTAAAAGCAAGAAATTGCATTTAAAAATAAATACTCTCATATTCATACTTACCTGGCAGGGGAGACACCAAGGGGAGATCCCGAAGGTGGTTTTCCCAGGGCGAGGCTTATTTATTGCACTCGGGATGTGCTGACCCCTGTGATTTCCCCAATTGTGGGAAACTCAACTGCAGAATTTGTGGTAGTGGGGGCCTGCGTTCATACTCTCCCCTGAAATAAATGAATGAATACACAGATTAGCCCTGGCTGTTGTGACTCGGTTGGACTGAAGGATTGTGGGTTGGATCCCAGGTCTGGGAGCTTTTGAGAAGGCAACAAGTTGATGTTTCTGTTGCAGGTGGATATTTCTCTCTCTCTTCCCTGCCCTCCCCCTTCCTCCTTCTCTGAAAGCAATGAAAAAATGTCCTCAGGGAGGGAGGGAAGGCAGGCAGGCAGGCAGGCAAACTCAGATTTTCGCTGATGGGCTTTTCTTTAAATCAGTGAGCTTGATTACCACCTGTTTGGATAAACATCTGAAACTGGTTCAGAGTTTAAGTTGTCAGAGTTTCTGTGTATCCTGTGCCTGTCCCCAGTAGCCTTCTGTTTCTTTTTGGATACTCTTACGTTGTATAAGTCATTGTAGTATGAAATTACAAATTACTGATTTTTTTGTGTTAATTTTCTTGATATGTGTTTGGAATAGATGCATATAATAAATTATTGGAAGTGAATTATAGATGTGAGAGAAAACTTTTTTACTTTAAATGGCTATTAGAAATTTTTGCCCGTAAATTAGAATTCGAACTTTCACGAGACTACTTGCTATTCTGTATTACAGTGGTGCCTTGGCTCTTCTCATTAATTAGAACTCCTGATGAGCGCTGAGTACCAAGCAAGCAACAAGCGATAAAGCACTTTCTCTTGGTGGGCAAGTGTGTGACTCATACAAGTTCTAGCAAGTGTGAAGGGTCTTGAGCAAGCGCTCAGCACTGAAACATTTTTTGCATGTCAAAATGTGACAAGTACAGGGTTTGACCAGTTATGAAGCTGACGGTACCAAGGTATTACTGTGTTTGTATGCTGTTTAAATCCTTGGGGGAAGCAGATAAGAATTTTTTTTCATTGTGAAAGGGAGATGGGACAGTGTGTAAGATTATTTATTTATCGTTTTCATAGTCACTCTGACTCTCAGCAACATCGTTCCTCTGTCGTGCCTTAGGCTGGTGCTCATCCACTCACCAACATCTGGTGACAGCTCTCAACCACTTACTCCAACACTAACCCAAACTCATGGCCTGCCGAGAGTCTCCCTAGGTCACAGTCCCCCAGCCCCATACTAGGTCAGGCCACTCACAGCCTGATCACCAGCCTTCCCCTGCCCAGTGCTCGGCTCGGCTCAGACCACCCTGTGCCTGCAGTGTCCTCCTCCAACTCAAGGCTTCCTTTTGCATCACAACTTTCACCTCGATTGCTTTTCTTTGGCCCCACCACATGCCCTAATGGCAGGACAGGTACAGAATTTATTCACTTTTGTATCTCCAGACATCCAGATGACTCCTGGCATGTAGCAGGCACCCAGTAAATACTTGCTGACCTTAATTACTCATGCTCCAGAGCAATTGTCATAGTCTTGGGCACCCTGCCACCTCATCTGGCAGCAGTTCTTCATTTCATCTTCACTTTTTGGCTTTTAGGTAGCTATTTAGAATAGAACTAGGCACTCCTGATATATATTGACCCTAACCAAAACATATTCTCAAAGATTCTCTGAAACCCTTCATAGGAAGTGTCTCCCAGTGGGGAGTCAGTGCAGTGGATCCAGCCGGATGTGAAGGAGTCACTGAGCAGGAAGGACAATAGAAGCCATTTTTACCTTTCAGAGGTCCTTGGACTTGGATCTTGATTATGAATAGATAAAATGATCTTATGGCAAATGGCATAAAAAAAAAAAAGAATGAGAATGAGGAAAGAATTTTTGTGGTACTGAAGTATTTTAAAACCTCATACTTTCTAGCAATATTTTAATATAGCACGGAGGTACCTTTAAATTGTACAATAAGAGTTCATTGAAGATGAAATAGAAAATTTCATCTTCTTGTTAAATTTTTACCAAAGTTTAACAACTTGTCACTATTAAGAAAACTTAAAAAAAAAGATTTTATTTATTTATTTTTAGAGAGAGGGGAAGGTAGGGAGGAAAGAGGGAGAGAAACATCAATTACCTGTGTATTTGCCTAGACTGAGGACAGAACCCACAACCCAGGCATGTGCCCTGACCCGGAATTGAACCAGTAACCTTTAGGTTTGCTGCACAGGGCTCAAATCCACTGAGCCACCCCAGCCAGAGCAAAAACTTTTCTTAATAAATCAATCCCAGCATCTTAAAATTGTCAGTGGAGGGGAAAAGAATCTCTATGGGAAAGGTTTATCAGATCTTACAATTTTAGCTGGTATTCCACAAGATTCACCTTGTACTTGGGGAATCTCTGAATAATTCCCTTTAATTTTCCAAAGCCTAGTCAAGATAGAGCTAGACTATTTTATCAAAAACTCAGAGATTGTGGTGGATTAGACAGATACTAAGGGTAATGTTGAACTAAGAATATGATTCGTTCTCTGGGACACTAACATCCTACTTTCTGGATTGTCTTTATAAGTGGACAAGGTAGGGTGTGGAGAGCAAGGAGGCAAAAGTCACAGAGCTGGGAGAGAATTTCCATCTACTGAAAAATAAACTGGTGAGGCTCTGGCCAGGTAGCTAAGTGGGTTACAGCGTGTCCCTATATGCCAAGGTTGCCAGATCCATCCCCAGTCAGCGGCACATAGAAGACTCTGTCACTGAATGCAAAACTCAGTGGAACAAAAAAATAGATGTTTCTCTCTCTCTAAAATCAATAAATGAAAACAAAAAATAAATAAACTTTGGAGCTGAAATTTCCATTTGAGGTCTTGTTCCTTTCTGAGATTTGGCAGTTTGGGTGTACTTGCCTTCCTGTTATCAGGCTTCTGACCTGACTCTGTCATAACAGAATAACCATAGCTGAAGTGGAAGAGTTGTGTTTTTCATTGTTTTTTAAAAATATAGTCAACTTTAAATAGCTAACAGCACTCATCTATCATTTATTGCAAGCTGTTCTAAATGTGCTGTTCTAATTTTTTTACATATATTATTTAATTCTTCTAATAATTCTGTAAGATATAGTCAACATTCTTCTTATCCCTGCTTTTCGGCTGAGAAAGCTGATTCCAGACAGGTTAAGTAAATTACACAAAGCCACCCTCTTAGCAAGAAGCTTGCAGTCAAACCCAGGCAGTCTGACTCGAGACCGTGACTTGCACTAGTATTTCATCCTTGAAAAGCAGAGAAGCAGTGGAATGTCACGGCGTTATTTCTTTGCTAGTCCAACCATGGCTAGAGTGGAAGGGTTACTATCTAGACTTACATATAGATTTTCTGATCATTCAAATTACTGAGGAAATGAAGTAACACTTTACAGTTGTCACAGTGTCATTGCATCAGGTATGTAATAAAGTACCACAAAACAATGTCCTACAACAGTAGATATTTATTTGCATAAATATGTGGATTTGCTGGGTACTGAATGATATAAACTGGGATTAGTTGGGTGACTCTGGGCTTGGTTGCTTACTCAGGACTCAATGAGGCAGTGACTTCCCTGGCAAAACTCTTCTCAACTACAACAAAGGCACAGAAAAGCAAGCCCAGTTGTTCATCACTGGTTGTATCATGCCTTCTAATGTTCTATTAACCAAAATGAGTTACATGGTCAAGCCCAATGTCAAGGGAAAGGAAAGTATACTTTGCCCATAGAAGGAGTACAGGAGGGAATAACTTGCACAATAATCCACCTCAGTAATAATAATCTGTAATCTAGTACACTTGATTTTTAGAAGAATCATAGAATGCTTACTGTGATAATTTGTGTTTTTTTTTTTTTTTTCTTCTGGTTTCCATTGTTGACACTATCCCGACTAGCACTTTCTCATTTTGGTTTCTGAACAACACCTGTTAGTTGGATACTTCAAGAAGCAAAATTTAATGCAGCAGGTATCTTTGCATCATGTTATGTAGGGGAAAAAAGGCACACAGAAATAATCTGAACCTTGACTTTAATTCAGAGTGATGCCTGAAAAGATCATCAATATCACAGTGCTCTTCTCTCCTTGCTTGATGTTACTCCAATGGCATTTGTAACAATTTGAAATGTAACAGAATTTAAGTCAAGGTTATACATAGTTCCCAAACAACTCCCTTGGTAGCAGGTTGAGAGGTCTTCAGTCCCTTCTCTGCACTTAAATTTAAGGCTGCAAAGGTTTGGTGCTGATATTTTCAGATGTCTTGGGGACTTCCAGGCTTTCCCTGAAGTTGTGGAGGTAGGCATCCAGGAATTGTAGCCTATAGATAATGTTTTTGTTGCACAGATACATAAATCCTTGCACTGAGGAATCACTACATGAAACTAAATAGTTAATATGGTTATTTGTGAATTGTTGGATTATGGGAAATATTTCATATTTTAGAGATTTTATTCATTTTCAGACAGAGGGGGTGGAGTGAGAAAGAAGGGGAGAGAAACATCAGTGTGTAGTTGTCTCTTGTGTGCCTCCAACCAGGACCTGGCCCACATCCCAGGCATGTGCCCTGACTGGGAATTGAACTGGCGACCCTTTGGTTTTCAGGCCGGCACCCAATGCACTGAGCCATGTCAGCCAGGGTGAAACTATTTTTCATTTTACACTTCCTACAGCAGCCTCTGAGAGTTCTAGTTGCTGGGCATTCTTATCACTTGATATCGTCTTTTTTCATTTTAGCTATGTTAGTGGGTAAATGCTATGTTCTTGCTGTTTTAATTCACATGTCCTGTGACTTTAACCCATCTTTTTAGGTTTATTGGTAATTTAGATATTCTTTTTTGGTGAAGTTTTATTTAGCCCTTGGTCATTTTTTCTATTGGATTATCTGGCTTTTTTTTTTTTTTTTATTGACACATTCCTTTATAGTAGTCCCTCTTTATCTATAGGGATCATGTTCTAAGACCCTAAGTGGATGCCTGAAAGTATGAATAGAAATGAACCCTACTGTCTCTTTCTGCGTATTCACACCTGCAATAAAGTTTAATTTAGAAATTAGGCACAGTAAGAAATTAACAATAACAACTTATAATAAAATTAATAAAACAATATACTGTAATACCTCTGGCCAGTGTGACTCA